ACTTGGCAGCCCCAGTGTCATGCCATTGAGTTTCTGTGAGGCTACTCTAGTTCCTGCTCACGTGAGGTCACTAAGTGTCCTCTATTTTGTGAATGGGCACTGCATGCAACCTAACTTTGTTCTGTGGAAAGCCCTGGAGTAGAGTTGGAAGAAAGCTGCATAAGGCAATGTTCTGGCATCAGAGTGACTTCCAAGCAGGGAATAGTGCCTGGATTTAGCCACTCTTAAAGACTCTCCCCCCACCTTATACTCTATAGATACTAGAAAATGTATCCTGAAGCTGGAAATCACTGAGGGATAGCCCTTATACCTTTCTTTATTTGGCTCATTTCTACTGATCTTTTAGATTCAGCACAGTGACAGACAACTCCTGGGAGCCACCCTCCCTACCATCCCCTCTGAAGTCTATCCTAGAATAGATTCAGAGGCCTTTTTCTATTTTTCCATTGTTTTCTGTGAAATCCTCTATTGCAGTGTAAGTCTACATTGAATTACAAAGCTATTGTCTTCCCAAACCCGGGTCCCTCTCAGTCCGTTTCATAATGTATTTCTATTATTAAGCATAAGCACTGTCCCTCATCAAGCATGTCTTACTGGACTCAAGAATAATATGCCTAATTAAGCCTAAATTGGGGAGTGTGAGATAGTCTAACACTACATTGTGAGACAGAGAATCTTGCTTTGGTGCTCAGTCTTGCTACAACCTAAGGCAAACCTAACCTTTCTTGGTCTTAATTTTCAAATCTATAAAAATTAGGATAATTATGTTATTTACCATATAGAATTGATGCAAAAGTTAAAGGATATACTGTAGGTAGAATGCTTAATCAAGTATAAATATATCCATTAGGTTTTCCTTTACTTATCATCTGAGATTGTTGCATCACTTTATTTCCTGCGACCCCACAGTTTCTCTATAAGGTAGGTAGTATTGTTTTTCACATAAGGACACTCACAGAGCTTCATTATCTTACCTATGGTCACACAGATAATAGCAGGGAAGCTTAGATCTGAACCCAGGGCCTCTGATGCTAGAGCTCACACTCTTAATCACTGAGCTCAAATGTTCCCTAACAAGTCTGCTAAGGTTCAGCCCTGGAGTGAGACCTGCTTCTAGTCTTTCTTCTCTCAGGTCTATAATGTAACAACAGCAATTTGCCCCAGGTCCTTCTAAGAAAACTTCAACTTGATCCTGCCTTGCCTAGTTCTCAGTGCTCTTACAGAGCTGTTCCAGGGGATGCCTCCTTACAGGGGCCAGAAGGAGTGGGGGTGCAGCATCAGAGAGCTGCCTCCTTCAAGTCCCCAGCATCAAGGAGAGGTGACATCCTTTCGTCCATGAGCTCTGGCATTGGAGCCAGATACTCTGAAGGCAAATCTCTGCTCAGCCAGTAAGTAACATGCCTTGGAAAGCAGCTTTGCATCTTGGAAACTTTTTTTAGATTTTTTTCTCCCACATCTCTAAAATTGGTATAAAATCCTCTTCTCTCGAACACTACTGTGGAGATTAAATGAGTCAGAGGTATGTAAGAATACTTTGAAAAATTACACTAAAATAAAGGCAAGTAATTATTACCTTTACAAGGATGCAAATTCCCCTTCCAGCAAAACATATAATATGTGTCTATATACAAAAAATGAACAGACATCATTTCCTAAGCATTATAACCAACCTGAAGGTCCAGATTGCTAAAAGAGGTTGGAAAAGATTCATTAAGATGTTTGGTCAAGATGGTTGGTTTGGTCAAGTCAAAGTGTAGACAAAGCAGGGACGCTGAGGAAGGAAAGTGACATCGTTCCACTTAATGAAAAGCACAGTGTCCTCTCTAGGTCCCAAGAAAGACAGGGTACATTCTGTCCTGACGACCTCACTTAAAACTTACCAAAATATTGAAATATAACCAACCATCTGAGACTATTTGAACACGAGGGGTTATTTTGAGTCTGTGATTCATCCCACACAGCCATATCCCTGGGAACCCGGTACAGAATTTGGATCAATGAGATCAGTTACAGTTCCACTAAACCACCTCCCTGCTACACCAGGACTTAGTGCAGGAGGGAGCCACAGAAATGTAACATCAATAGGAAAATGGAACAGACTTTAACTTAAATACAGCACCAACGTGTTGTTTGGAAGATGCCACTGTCGTTTCCTGTGTGTGGAAGTGATGGAATTAGGAAATCCAATGCTCACACCTGTGAGCTAAAAGGAAGGGCACTGTGATGGCTCCAGAGGCAAAGATGAAGGAAACAGCAGCCCCCCCCCCCCCCGCGCCCCCCCCCCCCCCCCCCCCCGCCCCCCGTATCTCCATGGCACTGAGAAGATGGGCCTTGCTCTAAGCACACGTTCAGAATGACGGAGGGTGACATAAAGTGAAAATGGGTTTTCAAATGATATTAAAAAGAAAAGGTGACACTAAATGGCCTTCTCCTGATTAATCACATGATTAAAAGCTGAAGAACTCAGATTCAAACAGCCTCCTGGAAGGATGGCAAAAAAATTCATCCTAAGCTTTAAAAAAAACAAACAAAAACGTAACGGAAAGGCATTTGCTATTTTTAGTGTTTTTGTAAGTAGGTTGGAGCTCCTCAAAAGGGAGCGAAGATTGCCAAGGAAGCTAACGGGCAGTAGCCCAGGCACTGGTCATTCCATTAAAGGTGAACATCTGGAAGGTTTCAGCAACATGAAAAAGAATGTGTGCTTCCTGCAATTTTAATTTTTCCTCCGCTTAATAGATGGGAAAATGCACACATTTCAAAGATCTGAAGTCTTAAGTAAACTCTTTCTGTCCACCTTCCTAGGCAGTAGTAATGAACTCAACACCTTAAATACAGATGGGTAAACCAGAGTGGTTAACATGGAACTTGCTAAGCTAGTAGTGGTCTAGGGAGTGACCATACTAGGCTAAACCTGTCTTTCAAGGTGTGTGGTCTCTGGTGAGTTTTTAAGTATTTATCCTTCTTACTTTATGATTACAGGATGCCCTAATCGATATTGCCCACATTTTTGAGCCATTGTATTTAAGTTCTTGTACGTTTGATGTTTGATGCCTTTTGGCACATTCTAGTCTGACCTCCTAGGAGGAAACTTCTAGTAAGAGATACGGATGGGATGGAAGTGAGCTATAAATTAGTTGCCTTTGAAAATGTGAACTATGCTTAATGATGGGGATATGGTCTGAGAAATGTATCGCTAGGCGATTTCATGGTTGTAAGAACATCATTGAGTGCATTTACACAATAAGGTACTCTTATATGACTGGCAGCAGATAGGTTTGTTACATCAGCATCACCACAAATGCATGAGTGAAGCACTGTGCTATGGCATATCATTAGGTGACAGGAATTTTCAGCTCCATTGCAATCTTAGGGGACTACTGTTATATATGCGGTTCGGCGTTTATGGGAATGTCGTTAAGGGGTGCAGGACTGTACTTGATTTTTGCAGGATGATGTGTTTACTTACAAGCATATGTGTAATTGACCATGATCTCAATGTTAAACAGATACAACTTCTTATACAAATCAATCAAAGGGAAAAAATAAGAGGTTATTCTTATCTAGAGAACTACATTTTTGGGTTTTGAAGAAACTCCTCAACCCCTCTGTTCCTTAGTTTCCCCTAAGTAAGTGGAGATATTTAGACACTAGCATGTTTTCAAGTGCACAGGTAAAGGATCTAGCTTTACAGGACTGAGGAACTAATAGGAAATCCCAACAGAATAGAGTTTACATGCAGATCCTCTAAGAGCCTCACCCACAGCCAACTAGCAGAGCCTTCTTGCTTCCATTCCTCTAGAACTCTGTAGAGCAGTGGTTCTCAACCTTCCTAATGCCTCGACCCTTTAATACAGTTCCTCATGTTGTGGTGACCCCCAACCATAAAATTATTTTCGTTGCTACTTCATAACTGTAATTTTGCTACTGTTAATGAATCGTAATGTAAATATCTGATATGCAGGATGTATTTTCATTGTTACAAATTGAACATAATTAAAGCATAGTGATTAATCACAAAAACAATATGTAATTATATATGTGTTTTCCAATGGTCTTAGGCAACCCCTATGAAAGGGTCGTTCGACCCCCAAAGGGGTCGCGACCCACAGGTTGAGAACCGCTGCTGTAGAGCATTATGTTAAAACCACTGGGCACCAGCAAATCCTTTTATGGAGAAAGCTATCAAAATCTGTTCAACCATCTGTCTCTCTGGCTGTTTTTCCTTTCAGTATTTTTCCTTCATGTGTTCTTTGCTAACAACAAAAAATCTATTCTGAAATAACCAAGATGTTAAGACTGAAAATGCCAGAGGTATATATCCAGTTTATAAGAGAAATTGCTTTCTAAAGAGGAGGTAGCTTTATCTTGTGTGGTGGAAGGCAACATTTCCGCAAATATTATAGCTGTGCTAAGAAAATAACCAACTCCTTTCATTAAAAGAATATGTGACAAGATTTGTATTTGTTCATGTAATTGAATTTAATGCTGCTGAAATTTGTCAGATCTGAAAGCTGTTGAAGCGTAAACCATATTTTTACATGAGGAAAATTTCCTAAGAACTTGTCTTTCTTGCTTATTGCAGGTCTTCTGCTGACCTTGAAAGGTCACAGGTCAATCATTCCCTGCATTTGCATAAACCCCAGCACCAACAGTGCCTCCAGGGTTGATTTTTGTTTTTCTTTTAAGAAGAAGACTGAGGGAGGCAGTCTATGTTTGTGGAGAAGCCCTGCTTAGGACTTGCCTACCAATTCACTGTTTCACACTTAGTGTCTGCTGTCTGGACGTCAGAGACTTAGGTTAGTTACCTACAAATGTGAGGCTGCCTGTGCTTTAATTCCAGCCAATAGTTTTGCAGCTGGTTTTTCTTCTGTAAAGTCAGTAGCTCATTATGGTACCTACACACCTCCATGTCACAGATTCTACAAACTTCAGATTTTTCTGCAGAAGCTCTATTCCATATTCAAGATGTCACTGATACATCATTTCTTTCTGTCTCTCACCTGGGTTCACCTTGGTTGATGGACATATAAATCTCCCAAGAATTCTCCTCTGGGATGGCGCCATGTGGTATGAGTAAACTCACCCCTAAAACAGAAAAAAACAAAAGGTTATTCGTAGTTTTTCCATTTATTGGGCACCTTGCAGATGCTCACAAAAGGACCTTCTCAGAGCAGTCTGTGAAACCCCGATCCTTGCAAAGTTCATGAAGTCCAAGATAATAATGGAGAACCCATTATTTACTAACAGTGACATAAAGAAAAACATATTATTCAAGTGTGTATTCAAATTAGGTTTTATTTAAAGTCTTCCTACTATTTTTAAATTCTCTTAAAAATTGGATGTCCTGGACTAGCAAACATATCTGAGAATATAAAAGTTTATCAATTATCAGTTAATCTACTCTGAAATAAAAAAAAAAGTGCTTCTCTATCTTGTTTCTACCTACTAATTTCCTGAAAGGGCATCTTGCAATGCTGGGTGGGCCATGTAACATTTTGCTAGAGCCTGGTATAAAATAGTCCTCTAAACTGTGCATCCTGAAGTAAGTTTAGGGAAGAGATTAGAGGAGTACTGTGTGTGTGTGTGTGTGTGTGTGTGTGTGTGTTTTGTCCAGAAAACTGGAGAAAGAAGCTCAGATGAGCTTAGGAACCTTATAAATTGTTGCATGGAACCTTATAGGTTGTTGCATGGCCACTATTTGGTCCTATATATGCAAACAGAAGCTAGGAAAGGTGACTGAACCATATTCATGTCAGCATCAAATTGAAAGATACTCAGTAGCCTTGCTTCAGTAAAATCATGCAATGCAGGCAGGGAAGGCACCAGGAGGGCACATGGCGGTGAATTTGAAATGTTTCCTCTCTCTCTTGAATGCTGCGAAATAAATATTTCACTTTGGCCAAGAGAGAACAGCCTAGAGAGGGCAGAGATTCTCTCTAATGTAGCTTTTTGTTTATAAAAAGAAATAGAAACACAATAAGATCTTTATAAAATAAAATCTCAAGGCATCCTCTTATTCTTTGAATAATGCAGCTCTCACCTTTCTTCCTTTCATTTGAGCTAATGTAATCACACAGAAAGCTTTCTGCTTGCTGATGATAATTTGAATCTAGAGATGGCAGGCTTTAGTGACATCCTTCTCTGGGCCTGTTAGCTGCTACAGAATCAAGGAATGCAAGACTCATTGCAAAGCAAGTTATTTGTGATTCGCATTTATGAGCATTATTCAGTGACACGCTAGTTATCATCAGTATCATTCCCCAGCCCTAATAATGAGGCACAGTTAAATCTTGCTTATAGCTTTTCAGCAAGGGTATCCATTTATATTCTCGACCTTAATGCCAATTGTAGGAGGATTGTCATGGTTATACTTGGGGGGCTCTGATCAGGCTCCTCCTTTCATTTTTCCTTAAATGTAGTTGCCAAATGAAGTGGCCTCCATTACTCCTTCCCTGCGTTGAATAGAAACTGTAATCCACAGGGTGTTCAGTGTATGTGGGTGTCAACCTGAATACATACCCTAGACATTGTGTGTTCTCTCTCTGTTGCCCCTCATTCAGACTATGTAGGCCAGTGGTTCTCAACCTTGGCTGCACATTAGAATCACCTGGGAATCTTTTTTAAAATCCTGATTTCTGGGCCTCATCCTCCAGAAATTCTGTTTCTTTGTTACTAATGGTGTGGCCCCACCCCATAACAAAGACACATAATTTCTGGAGAGTGAGGCCCAGAAATCAGGATTTTAAAAAGATTCCCAGGTGATTCTAATGTGCAGCCAAGGTTGAGAACCACTGATCTAGGCCATTATGACAAGAGACATGAAGTCACTATTGTTTAGCTATAGTAGCACAGGAGGCTATGATCAAGCATTAATGTCATCTTAGGCAATTAACCCAAAAGAACAACTTTGTATCTCACATTTCCCTTTCCCATGTTTCCTTTAGTGAGGTATAATTCACATGCAATAAAGTGCATGTTGTAAGTGTACATGTTGATGAGTTTTGACAAATTTATACTCTCCTGTAACCATCATCATAGTCAAGATATAGAGCATTTTCGTTGCCACAAAATTTCCCTTGTGCCCTTTAGAAGTCAATTCTTGATGTCAAGCCCAAGTGATCACTTACTTGCTTTCTGGCATGTGGATTAGTTTGCTTATTCTAAACATTTAAATACATGAAATCATACAGTATGTAAAAAAACAACAACAAACAACAATAATGGCTTATTACATCAATAGCTCAGAGTACAATGCTTGGCACACAGTAGGCCCTCAAAAGATAAATCATAAATATATTAATGGATAAATAAAATTCAAAATTCTGAGTAAAAAAAAAAGTAGGCCAGGCCTTGAGATATGCTATGTTCGTATGTCATGAGGGCCCGACAGTCAACTCAGATTGAAGCAGAATAAATATGTGTGTGGACTTAGGAGAAAGGGCTGTTTGTAGAGCAGATCCCATCTCATTTCTTTCAAGTCAGCTTAATTCCCTGTGTTTAGATAAAAACATTGCTCATAATACTTCTAAATTCAACCTGAATCTATAGGATCATTGGAGCTTTACACTATTTCATCTTTCCTTCAATCAGCAAGTGAATGATTATCCTTCAAACATACTTCCCTCCTTCCAGGCAAACATGCAAATTCTACATGGAGATGGAAGATAGTCACACAGAGACAAGGGTTCTGGCAGGGTGATTGTGCTGGTTGCATGTTATGTTGTATGAAGGAGGAAAGGCACTGTGGGACATTTTTATACCTGCGTCTCCCTAGAGAAGTAGCCATTTTTAATATGTCATTCACCAGTTATCTCTGATTAAGGAAAAATATAGTCTTCCCCAAACTCCACCTGCTACCCTGACAGCCTTTTATTTGATATGACAACAGAACCACCTGTCTGAGTTTCTTGTTTCATATTTTGCATAATGAATGATTTTTACAGTGTGGGGACAACCCCAACCTTTTTGAGATATCATTGCCAGACACCAGACAACAATTTGGGATAGGCAGCATTAAAACAATTTAATTTCTATGCCTTGCTTCCTTACACATTAGCTTTTGAGGCATATTCTGCATTTATGTTCTGCAAATAACAGAGCATATGTTTCACTTCCCCACACGTATTTTTCCTCAAATTTATTCCCAGTGAACAGTTTCAATCTTGTGTGGGGCTTCTTGTTAGGAACTTTAAAAATGCCCCTTTACAGAGGAAGTGTTTGGGAATCAGAGAAAATGCTATCAAAACTTTTAGGTTTCTTCTTCTTTTTTTTGCGGGGGGGCGGGGGGGGTTGTTTTCAGGTTCCTCATCTTTTTATTTTATTTTTTGCCATCACCATTTATCCCCTCTATAAAACTTTTAGTTTCCAGCAGCAGTACTTATTAAGTATGAAGGGAAGAAAAAGAAAAATCTGTTTCATCATGATTTCATCTCTTTTCTTTGAGGGACATTAAACAAACATAGCCAGTGAATGGGTTGATTTTGACACTCCCTCCACATGTGTGTAAACACACATACTAATAAATGAGGATGGGAAGAGAAAGGAGGGTTGTGGGCCAATTTATTCAACTAATAACTATTGAGAACCTGCTAGAATGGGTTAGAATTTGTAGATAAGATTAATGCACCATAATTCAATGTAAAACTTCTATGTTTCTGATTAATATATCCTACTATCTTTGAAAGGACAGGGTTTGCATCTTTTAGTTTTCTTTCTCCAGAACCCACACTTCCAGTTCTTAAGATTCTTACAAGAGGGGCACTTGGTAAGTATGGCTGACTCATTCCCCATTGATCTATCTGCCGTTATCACCAGAGACATGCATACATATTTAAACCTTTGTCCTTACTACGTCCTAAAACACTGACCAAGAAAAATGTAGAGTTTTGGAAGTTTAGAAAACAAAATCATTATTAGAGCTGTATAAGAGGGCTATTTGCCTGAAATGAAGTTTTTAAGAAAGCAATTGATATAGTAGAATAAGACTGTTCATCAACTTGAAACAAAATGTGGTCTCAAGTCACTAAGCTAGCAGAGGGTCCGTCAGCGGGAATAGCTGCATCAGACTAGTCCCATTGCATATTTCATTTTCTAAGAACAAATATTTCACTTGGAGAGGAAGGTTCACTCTCCAATAGAGAGAAGTCTGACAAGGCCCTAAACAATGCTAACCTGTTGTTTAGTCAAACTGGCAGATCAGGACACTCTTTTTCTTTAAGTAGCCAGGATGATTCCGAGCACTTCCTAAGTCTCCTTGCTTAGAAATCAGAGGGGCGATTGCCCTCTTTTGTCATCCAGTTCAGTCTGGGGTGGCTACTTTGAAGACTAATCCATAGATAGAATAATTTTTAAAGTGTTCTGGGCTGTACAGAACATCTAACCAAAAGGAGGAAAAAGTTCTTGAGAACTAAGTGTACTTATGATGTATCCTTGGAATTGTAGCCTTGCTCATCATTAAGTAACATAGCAAGGTCTGTGGACACTCACAGTGTTTGAATAGGTCAGTCACTGGGGAAGTTCAACTCAGAATGTCATTTCACTAAATTACCTACTAGTGCATCAATCATGCTTGTCCATAAACCTGGGGTTTGTCAAAGAATGTTCTCAGTGCTTTCTGATCATGTTCTAGGAAATATATTTCAAATGGGTTTAAACTCTGGGGACCACCCAAATCTTTTGAACAAATATGGCCACCACCAACTCTAATGAGGGCATCAAATGAACTGTTCAGTCCATGATGGGATGAAGATTGCAAAATTTCATCTCAGCCTTGGTTCTTGTTTGCAGTGTAAATCAAGTAGACTGTTGGAGCCACAGTACCTGGAGGTTTGACAAGGGGATGGTAAACATCTTAAGAATTAATCTGATGGGATGTAATTGTGCAAATACAAAACATTTAAACAGATGCTGGAAGATACACAAACGCACACTTACCACCCACCTGTATTTGGCATTACTAAGCGTCCTCCTAAATGGCCAAAGACACCAGTTGTCCTCAGTTCCGTCCTTGTGGGGAGCGATGACAGATTTTGGAGGTAGGGTGTTTTATTTCTGGGATGCACTGTGCTGAAGCTGCGGTTGTTTCCATGGGGAAAGGTCCCAGAATGGTTCTTGCCATGGTACTCAGCTCTCTCAGACACTCCCAGCGAAACCATGAATGAGCTCTGAACTTTGACTTTGATGTCTGACAAAGGGTTGAAGAGTGAAGACTCGGTCATGAGTTCCTTGTCCAGAGGGTCCTGTAGACAGATGGGTCCGCTGTATGTTCGACTCACGGTCAGGTCTGGCTGCATGGAGGAATTCAGGAGCAGGGAGTTACCTGATAAAAGAAAAGGGCTCTGTCACTCAGAAACTAAAAGGCATCACAGTTACCCTTTGACATCTGCTTCCACGAACTGCACAACAGCCCGTGTGCTTGCCCACTGCTCTGATCAGAGCTAGACCTTCAGGGCCACCCCGAGCATCTAGACTGGCTCTGTAAGACTGGTCGTTAGTGACCACAGCCCTGGACTCTGGCTTTCCCAGGCAATTCTCTGAATGCCACTAACCTAAATCATTCACTTTTCAGAGTTCCTTACAAGCTGTCTTTTCAAAACAGGTATTTCTGATACTCCATCAGGTATTTTTATTGATGTGATTTTAACTGGCAAGAGAAACTTAAAAAAAAGGGGGGGGGGAAGATGTTTTATAATCCAGTTTGGAGCAAAAATAACATCTGTTCATTTTAAATGGCATGAGATGACACAGCATGGTGACTGGGTAGTGCTGTTTATAACCGAAGCTGTGTGGGTGCCCACACATCTCGTGAAATTTTGGAGCTTGGGGGCGGGAAATGATGTGTCCCCAGCTCAAGAAGTTCAGGAGACCCCAATTTGTTCTAATAATGCATATGCCACTCTGAGAGGGAAAGAAGGCACCGCATGGGGCTAGGGAGAAACATTCTACGTGGAGAACAGCTTAGAATGGCTTCCTTTCAGTCTCAAAACAAATGGGAAAAAACAATCTTTACAAAAACATGAGAAATTGGACTTTCTCATCTGTTGGGGCTTACCAATTTTTCCTAAGCCATATAATAAAACGAAATGCTGTGATATTTTCTTGTGATGAAGTAATCTCATTTATTAGTAAATAACAAAATAACCCTCAGTCCCAAACCTCCCACCCATATCAGTCCGTCAATGTGACATCTCAAATTGAAACCCAAACCATATTAAACCATTTTCCTTTCGGGCCTGACAAAAAATGTTTAAAGTATGGTATTTTGGAAGATGTTGCAATTCCAGGACATATTGTGTTAGCCTCTATTGTTTTTCCATTTTCATAATTTGTAGCAACCCCAGCAGGAAAGCTGTAATCCTGATTTTTCCCAGGAAAGTTCTAATGCTCTAAGAATCCTACATAATAAAAGAAGAGGTTCAGAATGAGGTGAAATAACCTTGTAGACCTGAAGGCTCCTTGGCGATGCATCTTTTTCATGCCTAAGGCTCCTGTGCTAAGACACAGGCACAATCAAGGGGCTGTGCTTTTTTAACAGGACTGCATTGAATTCTACAGGCACCATCCTTGCTCTTATTTATGGTTTTCCCAGGCAAGGGGCAGGGCTTAAGATCCACCTAACACAGGGGTGGGCAAACTTTTTGACTCAAGGGCCACAATGGGTTCTTAAACTGGACCGGAGGGCCGGAACAAAAGCATGGATGGAGTGTTTGTGTGAACTAATATAAATTCAAAGTAAACATCATTACATAAAAGGGTACGGTCTCTTTTTTTTTTTAGTTTTATTCATTTCAAACGGGCCGGATCCGCCCCGCGGGCCGTAGTTTGCCCCCGGCTGACCTAACATCTTGAAAGAGTTGGGAACAGGTGTTCCCACTGGGTCTGGAAAAATGATACTCCTGAGTCTCGTGGCTACTGTATCTCAATCTCTCACCTTCTGAAGATTAATTTCTGGCTACTCTTAAAAGACCCTCCTAACTTAAGTGAAGCCATGAAGCAAAGACATTTCTTAGAGTTATACTTAAGCCTAACATACGCACTTAAATGGAAAATAGGATTATAGAGGAGTGGGCAAAAGTAGATTTACAGTTGTAATATAAAGAAATAATACAATAATTAATAAATAGTAATAAAAGAATAAATTCTGTTTCTTGTACTCACAACTATAAGCCTACTTTTGCCCACCCCTGTAACAGTAGCTATGTATAATAGAGTCCACAGTTGACAAAAGTTGGCTGCCAACTTGATTCAAGTCTGATCAGGAACAATCATCTATCACCCCAAGTTTCTCCCTGGAAATCCTTTTTATAAAGTTCCTGGTGTACTCTGAGTGTCTTATCCTATTTAACAGTCTCGCTGTTCACCTTGCTGGGTTCTAACTATATTTGCTCAAGGCAGAACCAATGAGCATCAATGTGAGGTGTTATCACAACAATTAACAGGATAGAGTGGAATTTGAATAGGTAATTTTTTCTTATATCACTACTTTTGTGAGAATCCTGCTTAAAAAAAATCAAAATGATAAAGTTTGGAAAGGCTTACTATACACATAAGTTCCGAGAAGCCCCCTAGTAAGGAAATGTGTTTAAGCTTATCCTAGTCAGCATTCTCCAAATGAGCCACCGCTCTAGCCTGCTGCCTGGTGTTCTATGAACAGTAGCCTCCTGTGCCCAGGCAAGAGAAAATAACCAGGTTCTAGAACAATATTCACTACATTTATTGAGCTGCTTCCATATGCAAAGGGCTTGTAAGTCATGTTATTCCAGGTAATTTCATCCTCAGAAGAACCCTTTGAAGTGGATATGAGTATCTCCATTTTACAGCTGTAAATTGAGACTCAGAGAAACTAACTGATTAACTAGGTCATTTAGCAATTTTGGACTCATCGTCATGACTTCAAAGATTCTGCACTTGTACACGCAGCTCTCATACTACTAGCTTTCCTCCATTTTTAAGTGCTTGGTCTAAGACACTGATATCTTATTATTTGATGAATAAATTTCTAGTTTCTTAATTTTTTTCAATTTCAGTTGACATACAATATTATGTTAGTTTCAGGTGTACAACATACTTATTAAACATTTTACAGCCTACAAACTGATCACCTACCTGACACCATACATAGTTATTACAATATTATTGATTATATTCCCTATGCTATACTTTACATCCCGGTGACTGTGTCTATAACTGCCAATTTTCGCATCTTAATCCCTTCACCTTTTTCATCCATTCCCCAATCCCCCTCCCATCTGGCAACCATCAATTTCTGTTAGGATTTCTTTCTCTGTATTTCCTGTATACCTCTTATAGATTTTTGCTTTATGGTTACCATGTACTTCCTATATAAAAAGCTATGTTATAGCAGTCTATTTTAAGTTGATGATTGGTTAGGTTTGAACACATACTAAAATCACTATAGTTTCGTCATGACTTTTTACTTTTTTTGTGCATTTGTTTGTGTGTATCTCTTAATATATTGTTGTAATTACACATTCTCTTTCTACATTTGCCTTTTTGCCTTTGTACTAGCTTTATATTGGTGGATCTACTGCTTTTACTAAGTGTGTGGCTTTGTTAACAAAAAAGTTTTTTCTTTCCTATATTTTGCTAGTCATACTTTTGATCATCTCTTCTTAAAGAAGTCCATTTAATATTTTTTTTGTAATATTTTTCTTGCCAGTGAAACTCATTGTTTCCCCTTCAATTTAAATGATAGCCTTGCTGGGTAGAGTCATCTTGGCCGTAGTTCTTTCCTTTACATAATTTTGAATATTTTGTGCCAATCCCTCTGGCCTTCTAAGTTTCTGTCGACACATCAGCTGACAGTCTTCTGGGAGTTTCTTTGTACATAACTAACTCTTTACTCTTGCTGCTTGTAAGGCTCACTCTCTGTCTCTAAACTTTGGCATTTTAATTATATTGTATTTTGGTGTGGGCCTCTTTGGGTTCATCTTGTTTTTGACCGTCTGTGCTTCCTGGACTTGTATGTCTATTTCCTTTGCCAGGTTTGGTTATTTATTCAAATAGGTTGTCAATCCCTTGCTCTCTCTCTTCTCCTGCTGGTACCCCTATGAAGCAAATGTCATTACACTTAACGTTGTCCCAGAGGTCCCTTAACTATAATCATTTTAAAAATTCTTTTTGCTGTTCTGATTGTGCATTTTCCACTACCTTGTCTTTCAGATCACTGATTCAGTATTCTGCTTCATCTAATCTTATTTGATTCCCTCTAATGTATTCTGCATTTCTGATTTTTTTTTAATGGTTTCTATCTCTTTGTTGAAATTCTCCCTGAGTTCACCTATTCTTCCCCTAAGTCACTTGAGCATCTTTTGAACTTTCTATCTGGTAGATTGCTTGTCACCATATCGTTTAGTTATTTTCTGAAAATTTGCCTTGTTCTTTAATTTGGAACATGTTTCTTTGTCTCCTCATTTTGGCTGACCCCTTGTGTATATTTCTATGTATTAGGTAGATCTGCTATGTCTCCCAGTCTTGGCAGGGTGGCCTTACCTAGTAAATGTCATCTGGGGCCCAATGGTGCCATCTCTCTGGTCACCTGAGCTGGGTGCTCCCTGGTACCCCCTGTATGGGTTGGGTGCCCTCCTGATGTAGTTGAGTCTCGACTGCTGCTGTCACATCAGTGGATGAGACTAACCTTTGGAAAGACTGGCTGTGAGAAATTTCTGGGGCTACAGAAAACAAGGTACTGTGCGGGGGCTGACCCCATGCAGCAGGATTCACTTCAGTTGTGGACTCTGGTGTCTGCTGAGTCTGCCTTGGGTATGTCATTTGTGGAATGCTTAAGGGATGCTCTGGTGTGGTAAGAAGCTGGTCACTCCGAGTGTTGGTTCTGGGGCCTCTTGAGAGGGACTCTGATGCATCCCATGGTCAGATTTTACCTGTGTCTGGCCTGCAGCCACCTGTTAGAAGCTACAAAGTGATCTGTGGTTGGTTGTCACCTGTGCTGAAAGAGGTTGGACTGTGAACTGAGGCTGGCTGCAACTAGTGCCAGGCCTAGGGCCACTTAGCAAGAGGTACAGAGCATGCTGAGGCCAGCTGCCATTGGATTGGGGTTTATGGACCTTGAAAGATTTTAGAAAGTTAGCAGTCTAAGCTGAGGCAGGACACCTATGTGAAAGAAACACTGCAAGTAGTATGGGTGGTGAGGCAGCTGGGTGGGGCAGGGTCTCAGATTTGGCTCTGGCCTTTGCCTGAAGATTGGGAGAGGGAAGGGCTCAACAAAGGAGCAATGGCCTCTGCCAGCACTCTCCCTAGGGAGACAGCTACCTTGACCTCTGCCCCCACCAGCCCTCATTCTGAAGTTAGTCAGCTCACCTCCTCTCTGTCTGCCCCTGGTGCTTTGTGAGCTACTGCCCCCGGGCTGGAGTTGAGCTGGTAAGTAAGTTTGTGTGTCAGTGAGTCTGCTCATGGTATCTTTAAGAACTGTAGCTACTAGGTCTGCAGCAGCCCTCCATCCCACTTAAACACAATCCCTGCTTATTTTCACAGCCAGATGCTATGGGAACTTCATTTCCAGGCTGTGGAGTTGAGGGCTGGAGAGCCTGGTGTGGGACTGGGACCTCTCAGCTGAAATAGCTTTTCTCATTTTTAACTGCCACACCATGGCTGTGGGACCTGCCCATTCTGCTTCTCCACCCCTTCTACCTGTCTCGGCTTGGCTTCTTCTTACATCCCTGGTTATAGGAATTCCCTTCAGCTAGTTGTAATTTTGATGTGGTCACAGGAGGAGGTGAGCACAGTGATTGCCTACTCTGCCATCTTGACCTGAAGTCTCTATTTCTAGTTTCTTATGGGGCCTAAATATTGGGTCTTAATTGGATTTATTTCTAATAAAATAATGTTTACTAAATCCTATATCAGGCTACTCAGTCTCAGACATGAAACTTTGGTGCCTAGAAGTGAGTGGTGAGCCTTAAAGCATTTTGTTTCTCCCAATTTCTAGTGCCCTTGGGTTTCCACTTCAGAACCTGCCAAGCAGTGAGACTTCTTCTTGTCCTGTGGTACAGGTGATATTGATATGTAATAGCCAGAAATAAAGGTTATGATATTGACAATGAGAGTCCACGTAAAAAATCTTCATTCACTGAAGAGAGTTTCATTTTTTTTTCTAAAATTAAAGCTGTGTCTGTCTCATCACCAATCAGAAATAGATGTAGTTCCTATAAGAGAATTCAATGACTCTTCATTTTGAAAATGAGCATTGCTGTAGTTTGGTATGATAGATTTCCCTTTCCCCCGCAACAAAAGATTGCTTGACTGGGCAACAGCTGAGAGTCATTTAAACTAGGAATTTCATTTTTTTTCTCTGGCTAACTGACCCGTCATATATCAAGAGTCCTTTTACTTATCTAGAACAGAAGTACAAAAATAATTCCACCTAATAAATTGTGAAATATATGTCTGGGAGGTTGCAATATAGTAGTTAGTCCTTAGCCTTGAATAATCAGAATTTCAGTGATCTAAATTATATACCCTCAAAGCAGTCTTGTTAAAATAGAAATTTGGATAATCTGTGAAAAAGTAACTTACTAAAGACAGAAATACCTCATTTAAATGTTGCTAATGGTCAATTGAGAGCCATTTGTCCTAATAGCCAAGCACTTAGGTTTCCTAATGTATGAAGACAATTTGGCAGCGGCCCCCAGTGCCAAGTGCTATGTTCACACAGGGCCAATGAGCACGGAGTCCTGTGTGAGCATAGTCTTTGGTCCTGAGGACGTGGTGTTGGGGTAACCTATGCCGCTGACCTTGACGGACTGTTTTGAAGTTGAAGGTCTGGAAGCCACCTGTCAATGCAGAAGAGTCAATGACGTCCACACCATAGTCACTCTGGCTCCGTCTATAAAGGGTGACACCAATGACGAGGACTGCAACAGCCACGACTGCAGCACCCAAGCCCGAGTACAAAGCAATGTCGCTGGCATTCTCAATGCCTGAAAGACACAAGAGAAATCCTAAGTGGCCAACATGGGCACAGAGCCAAAGAACCACCCCATGATACAAAATGAAATGCTATTGGGTTTTTGGAGCTACTGCTCAAAGAAAATTATATATGCAGCTAGCCACAAGTTACACTCTCTTTCCAACAACAGTCACATTTCTAAAATACCTTGCATAAATCAAAGGGATGCTAGTCAAATATCTCAACTGCATTAAGATAGCTTACCATGTAATAGAATCTTGAAGACAATCAATTTTGCAAAGAATATAATATTTTCAAATAAAAACAGGCAACTTCTTAGGAAGTCATATTTACCTAAATTTTTTTTTTAGTTTTGTTAGAGGGTAAACATGAGACCCACATACAATGACAGAATATGGGTGAACTGTTTTACTTATATATGACCTGGGCACATGCATTCAGGGAGAGTGATCTAGGGTTAGAAGATAACACATGGTCTGTGAGTCAAAAGAGTAGACCAGAGTTCGCAATTAGGACTTTTAGCTGTGGCACACATCATTCATTTTAAGAGAACACATTCACAACATCAGTTTAGAGTATATACAATCATTTTGAGAGAATTTCTGTTGTGAGATATGAAAAGGACTTGGTCCTAGGGGCTCTATGTCCATGGTAAATGTTTTCTAGCACCAATGAGATGCTATACTCCAATACTTTTTTTGTGGAAGAGGACGGGTCTCTAAGAGGGCACATGCTGTTTCTCCCATACCTCTCCTACTCCATCCTATTGAATGCATGGGCAAAGCAAAAATAAAAGCATTAGTTTGAATTTAGACTGCAGGTGTCTCCCCATCCCCCAAGATATGTTGTAGTCGATTTTCAACTCTTTTGCTCAATGCACATTGGGTATGGCTCATTCCTAAAGAGATGCATCCTGGCTACTATAATTCAGCATGAAGTTTATCCAAGACTACATAATCCTAAAGGAGGTGTAATCGTGGAAAGTGTGTGGAAATGGAAGGTGGCAAGTGCTAACTACCTAATTAATCTCTCTACAGATTATGTGGCCAGTGCACTTAATAGGTCCAAAAGTAATTGCTGTGTCACCCTGTGCTGGGCCTGGAGGATAAAATAAACCCATTATATATTTACTTTGTAATTGCACAGCTCTTACTGTGCATTCACCGCACCCTAATTTGGTGCTTATGTTATCAAATGAGTAATACTATCCACACAAGTAAAATGAATTTATTTTCAACAAAGTCAGTGGACTGTAAAATAAGGTGCTACCAAATTAAAGAGTGAACAAGGAAATCAAGCAGAACCAGTTCGGTAATAAGGCAGTAAACACAGAAAAATAATTTGTGAGGGAGAACACAATCACCCAAAAGGTCAGAGGATTATCAGACAACTTTACAAACAAAACTTTTCATTGATTTGAGAGAGAGAGAGAGGAAGGGGGGGAGAGAGAAACATCAATGAGAACAAAACAGGTGATTGGCTGCCTCCTGCATGCCCCCTACTGGGGACTGAGCCCACAACCCAGACATGTGCCCTGACTGGGAATCCAACTGGTGACCTTCGGTGCATGAGTTGACACTCAACCAACTGAGCCACACTGGCCAGGGCTATCAGACACCTTTAATAACCATAATAGCCTAGGAGAAACAGGGCTGTGATTTAAGCTTTAGTTCCAACTTTGTGATGGCCCAAAGGAGAGACAGGAATGGAGGTATTTGTGGTTGTCTTCTTTGACCAACCAAAACAATAGGCACAATGGTTCATGACAAGTCCAAAGTTCCAACATCTATCTATGTCACATGGGGGGAAAAGTTCCAACATCTGCCTGTGTCTTTGCTCCTCTGAATTCTCACCTTCATCTTTATTACCCAATCCTGGCTACCCAGGTTCCTTTGAGGGAATAATAAATTATTCTCAGAGGAGAGAGAGGACATGGAACATGACAGATACAAAAAGCCAGGGTACCAGGAGCAGTGAGAACTTTGGATTGAAACCATTGGCCTTTTCTCCCTTTTCCCTCCAGTTCCTTGGGCACTGATGACTGATGACACTTATCATAAAAGGTGCATCTGGGGAGAACACACCTGCTCAGCAACTGAGCACCCACAGAAAAACAGCCTGGCAGCATCCAGAACGCAGCTGCTCTTTGGCTGAGTTGGCAAAGTACAGACAAAGACATCTTTGGCTTCCCAGGTACTAAAATAGGAAGGGACAGAAGCCAGGAGGATGACCAGGGCAAATACGTCTGCTGAAAATGGACATCACTGGACACATACATTCTGAGACTAAACTGAGTAGCGAGAACAAGTTGTCTTTGCTCCTCTGGATTCTCATCTTTATTATCTAACCCCTGCTACCCAGGTTACCAGGTAACCAGAATTCTCCTCCCTTCAGATACAAATCCTGTGTTTAGAAGAGGAATCTACATGTGCCTTTAGATTGAGGTTTAAGTGTGTGATATGGATCACTGTGTTTCCTTTCCCAGGAATGTTTGCAGAATCTACGTGACTTAAGGAAATTAAATACTGAATTATAGAATTAAAAAAAAAAATGAGTAGAGGGACTTTGGAGATAGAGTGGGTAAAAAAGGCAGAGACTTTTATGGTGAGCCCCACCTCATTATAAGGTTCATCCCAGCACTTAGTGCAATCCAAAAGCCAGAAGTCAACGGACTTCTACATAAAGATAAACACAGTGGTATCTATTTTACAATAACCATCTGTCCTAGGAATTAGAAAGTTCAGGATCTAATATGTTCATTTATGCAGTACTTGTTGACAGCCAACCATGCAATGAAAATGAGGATGCATGGCTGAATTAATACACGGCCCATATTCTCAGCTGTTTCTTGTCTAAAAGTGGTAAATCCTGGTATCCAAGTACAGCTGCAGGTAGACACATGTATTCAAAGCTACATGTGTATGTCTCAAGAGAGTGAACCAGACATCCTCACCTACAGCTCAGATTCTTTGGAAGGTGGCTCACAGTGCTTCTTTCTTCTTTGTCTTCTTTCTTTGCTCTTCTTTTCTCTATCTACCTGCTTTTATTTAACCTCATTCTTTTATTTTCCTTAATTCCCCTCCACATCAATGTCTAATCTGTCCTTTCAAGAGAGTAGAGTGGTTTTCCCTATAAGGATTTCTGTGTGCTTATAAACACTCATTGGTTTTTCTTTTCACATATGTTCAGGACTGGCCAGAAGACCTGAGGTTTAGTTCCACATTTTCCACCATGGGTATATGTGTGTCTGTGAGCACATGGGCACTTGGAGGGGAGCCACTACAGACTCATCACATACATGTGTGCATATGCATGCAGATAAGCACACATTCAGCTCTGCTCAGAACATCAGAAGCCACTACTGCTCCTTCCCAGGGGAACTGCTCTACCATCATGACCACATGGTGCGGGCGCTTCCCAGGGCCTGACAGCTTCTCCACGTCCATTCCTGTGCTCCTCCTCTTTGCTGCACTGCTGTATGCTCCAAATGCCATTGTAATTAACTTCCTGCTAGGTGGATGCCTGCTAGTGAAAGGCCTGTTTACCTTTCATATTACAGTGACAGGTCATTGTCATACATCCCTCACCCCAGCAGGCATCTAGGCCAGTGATGGCGAACCTATGACATGCGTGTCATAGGTGACACGCGAACTCATTTTTTTGGTTGATTTTTCTTTGTTAAATGGCATTTAAATATATAAAATAAATATCAAAAATATAAGTCTTTGTTTTACTATGGTTGCAAATATCAAAAAATTTCTATATGTGACGACACGGCACCAGAGTTAGGGTTTTTCAAAATGCTGACATGCCGAGCTCAAAAGGTTCGCCATCACTGATCTAGGCATTACCCATCTCTATCTACCTGTCAGGTGACAGCTGAAGGTCCCCTCCCCCAAGAAAGTAACTCTGTCCTGTACAGTCTCACCCTCCCTGCCAACCTATGATCATCTAAACTCTTGTATCTCTTATAGTTCCTAGAACTCATTTTGGATGATACTTTTTATTGTTAAGTATCTGAATGCCAATGCATTCTTCCTTACTGTTTTAAACTTTTCAAAAGCAGTAGTATATCTATAGTTTCCCTCAAGAAATTTTGCAAATCATTGTGTGAAACTATTTATTAATTTCTTGCCTTGGAAGAGAAATATAGAATGTCCCAAAATTCACGCAAAGTAATTTGGTAGAAAATGCAGGTTTATAATTAAAAATTGTAAATTTTTTATTGATTCATTAAGTATACAGTATAGGGTTATGGATGGAATAGCACATCGGGTAAATGGCCTCCATGGCTTTGCTGGCACATACGCAAAGCCGTAGTCTTCATTGGTCTTCATTGTCCCTGCTTCTGGGCCATAATTGGTATTGGTAATGCTTATCAAATTGAAGGGATTGAAATCAAAGGGCAACAGATATTAGAATCTGATTCAATAAACCAAGTAAAATTAGGCTTTTATTTTTTGTTGTTGTTGTTAATGCTCACGCAAAATTCAAATCTTGCATGAATTTTGGGACACCCTATATTAAAGGAATCACAGTCTGAGGTTAGTTTTAGAACCCCTGCCACATGGACTCTATTTTTTTGTGCATTTACACACATGTACATTTACATCTGTTTGCTTGCTCACATACACTTGTGTTGCTGGTTTCTTTGCTTAAGTGATTTTGAACAAAAGCTTTGGTACCCCATGATGGTTTGGGCTGTTCTGCTTTTTTTTTTTTTTTGTGGACACAGGATACTTTTCTGTGACTTTCTATTTCATAGGTGAAGCTTTACAAATTATGTCTTATTGATGTTTTTTCTGTGTTTTCATCCTTATCCAAAAATCACAAAAGCTTAGGTAAAACTTGAAAGGACCCAGCCTGGTGGCAGGACAGATTGTTGTGTACAAGCTATAGGTCAGAGACAACAAACAAAACATCTGAGAACTGACTGAGAAATCTCTTGTATCCCCAAATTGTTCAGAAAATACTGCAGAACATGTTCAGTAGAGAGTTGGAAACAAGGACCCTGACAGGGAAATGTTTATGGGTTTATTTGGGCTGGAGAAAAGCTGTAAAGTGAGTTGTGGTGATCTTTAATGCAGAAAGGGTTGTTATAAGGAAAGAACTGGCCCACCGTAGGTGCTCAATAACCCTTCATTTATGCTGAAGCTAGTAACCAACTCTTCCGCCATCTCTAACAGGGATGAAAAGGAGGACGTGGCCTTTTATTACAGCAATCGGGACTCTGGTTAGATATTAAAATGACCTTTTCTACAATGAGGGTTGTTAAAAAACTGCACTGTATTTCTGAGTGAGATTGGGAAATCTCCTTTCAGAAAGTCTCTAAAAGACAGCATGAATTTACAATAGCCTGCAGTTATTTATTTTTGGGGTCAAGGCTGGTGAGAGGAGCTAAATGACCTTTCAAAGCACCTTTGAACTTCACAGTTCATGGAAGAGGCATTAACAAGTCCAATGGCTTTATGAATTACAACCATCCTAGTCATTTTTACTAAGCAGTTTCCCTAAAGGATTAAATAGAAGGGCCGTTTACTTAGTTTGCCTTTATGTCTGTACCTGACTCCCATCTGAAAGACATATTGATGCCACTTGTTAATGTAAAGTTAACTTAATTCCCATGGTATAAGCTTAACTATATATCAGGTTAGAATTTATTTTACAGGATTAGGTGGCGACACAAAATTAATGAAGGAGCATAGCAAATGCCCTTCAAAACATGGTATTTTTTTCTATCTCCTATTAGATATAGAATGACCA